GTTTTCATTATCAGTTATATTTGGCTTAAGAAAATAACGCTTTGTAAGAAATACTAACGTGGACTACAACACTGAGAAGTAATATGCCATTGTGTTCCTGACTCAAAGCGCACAATTCTATCCACCTAAATACATGGAATTTAGTTTTTCTGAAGGAATCATGCTGAGTAAACTGCTCATGAGCTATGAAGAAAACTACTCAGTTGTTAGCCCATACTTTAGACCACTGTTATCTCGTTAAGGAATTATTCATATCAGTGGTGGATGTTTGGAAAAGACAGAAAATTTTTGTTTTATTTTCGATAACCAATAGGGTTGTTAGTATTTGTCGCTTACATGTAGTGCAATGAACTCTGTTTGTTTTTCGAATCAGATTTACTTTTGACCAAAAATTCTAGTCAAATCTATTGAAAATGCGCATTTCTATGAATCTGAAATACTAACAGGAATTGGGTGTCTATGAATTATTTATCACTAAAATGTCATTCTGAGACATATATATATATATATATATATATATATATATATATATATATATATTACACCAAGCTAAATGCTTGCCATTCACAGAAGAAAAGAAATAAATATTTTATTGCCAATTTTTTATTTGTAATAATAATTAATTCATATCGGTTAACTTACTCGATTTCATGCCAATGAAATTAAGAATTTGGATCCCCTGCAATTTATTTTACGAGAGATGTAGTTGGTCAAATGAAAAGAAACTTATATTTTCAATCACTATCCCCATACAATCTTGGTAGGAGTAGAAAAGTGATTCAGTGAGAAACTGAACCATGATCATGAACAATAATCTAATGAGAAAAGCTATAGAAAGTAAAGGAATATAGAACAAGCGGTTCATCTTACAGGGGTTTTACAAGATGTGATATAGCTGAATCAATTCAGGCAAGGAAAATTGGAGATTCATAGATTCCTACGATTTTCTCAAACTGTTGTGAATATGATGAGGCTGTTTTTTGCCCACTAGCCAGCCAAATTCTTGAAAGAGATCAATCGTTGCTCAAATACCTTACTACTAACCTATCTGATTGTAGCACTGAGTGGTATGTTTTCAAATCTATGTAGGGATATTAGTTCGCTTGAGGTTCCGGGTACCTGTCGCTTCTAACTGTTAAGAATTGCAAAACCAACAGCGCATTCAAGGTTCCCTATCGATTGCTGTACTACTGAAAGAAGACATTTAAACTTTAACGCATAAGTTTGTCATCTAAACTTTCATGACTAAGGTATTTCCTACTGACTATCTATCTAGATAAATTTGACTCTGAGTAATAATAATTCTATCAGCTATGCTTGCACCTCAGCTCCGAATGTTGAATTCAAATTTGGTTGCATTTTTAGCTTCCTAAAAGTGGTTGAATGAACTTTTCAAGGTATCTGTGTTTTAGATTTTGTGAAAATACTCAGACTTATTTAAAATACCTGCTCTGAAAATATTAATTGGCGTATATCACTTATTGTAAATACTGAACTATGATATCAGTTCATACTTTCATATTTGAGTAGCGCACTTACATACCATGGAATATTGGAACGTAAGTTCTTCTTTATACATCAACAGCTGTCGCCTACGCCTACGCTCACTCAATACTGACACTGGAGATGATCACATGGCCAGAATAATAAGAATAAGCAAGAAGGAACTTACTCTGACTGCAAACCAACCAATCAACCAACAACCCATCACACAACGTGTATGGAGAGAGGAGTGGAGATGGATTGTATTGTATTGTATTGTGTTGTATTGTATTGCATTATATTGTATTGAACATGGATTGAGAATACCGTTTGGAGAGAGGACATCACGCACCAGGTGAGGTGAGGTGAGGTGAGGTTAGGTTAGGCTGTCGAGTGGAAGCTGAATGGGAAACGACGAGTTGGGCGTGGGATGTTGGTGAGATGGAGAAGATTGTGTGATGAAGAAATGAGAGTTAGTGGGGATTGGTGGAGTTGTGGAGTTGTGGAGCCAGGTTAATGAGACTGTAGAGAAGAGAGTGAAATAGTGAGTCGCTACTGAATTCCTATGTTCCACTAGGAATCCAATGAACCAATAATAATAAGTTTTTTTATACCAGTACTACCCTAAAACGTATCTCAATAAGTGAGAGTGAACAAAGTTGTGGATGACATCAGCAGGGTTGTTACTTACTTCAGACTTGACTTGGACTTAGCAAAGAAATAATCCTGACAGTCAAGGATGCTGATTGGATGTAGGATTTTCCATATACCTTCAACGCTTTGAGTCCGTCAACCGTAAGATGACTTTCGAACCTATCTGTTACCTCATCTACTTCAAGGATTGAGTCAATGGGAAAAGACTAGCTACTTATTAATATCCCCTGAGGTACAGAACCACCTTTGGAATTTGCCGACTCACACCATCTCCGACACCGGCGAGATAATTAAGAGTAGTATAGTTCAGGCTGGCATTGATTATGTTTAGCTTGTGGTATTTTGGAGCATTTTAACAAAAAAATTCATTTTCCATTTTATTACTTTTAGTTCTCCGTCGTTGATTTGACCGAGGTGGTCGATCTCTTTTAAAATATGACATCCTGGGAGGATGTATCCACACTACCTGGAAAACAGTAAATGCAGCCGATTAGTCCCAAACAGGACGAAACTTATGTCACTTACACTACTACAAGATAGCATGGGCATTTTGAAACCACTTTGCTTACACTTTGTTTGATCTGTTTACCACACCCCACAGGTTCAGTTTATTCTGTAAAGGTACTTGTGTAGTGCAGTAGTAGTATTAGTAGTGTGATGACTTCCATTGGAATAACCTTTCCATAGTAATCTATTTACTACCGATGACTACATCCATCTGAAAGCGCACGATAGCTAGTTCAAACGTAAAAGACCATTTCTGTTCTGATAAGTTTGCAAACAGTCTTCGATTACAGGAGAGTATTGACATCTAAACACATGTTAGACTGTAAGCAGAAAAGAGCATATTTGACTGGTGAATATAACTAGGAAGAAAATGTATTAGTAAGAGTTATGTTCAGGTTTCTGTGGATAATAATAATTTCATTCTTCCGGACAATATTTTACTGATATAATAATGAATTTACTCCAAACACATCATTTCTTAATATTATCTGTAGTAATAACAATATTATGAGCAATAGTATCTAGCGTCCAGCTGTTTCAAATATTTAGGTTTAGGCAGTAGGGACGTCTGTTGCCGGACCGAGTGAATTGAAACGTGTGCCTAAGTTTAGCGATCATTTTCTATTTAGCTAGCATGAGAATCAGTGGTTTGTGGTGAATATTTCAAAAATCGTCAGTCAACTCATGAATCATTGGAAGTGTAAGTGCTCACTGGTATCCACCTTGATGTTGTTGCCTAATTTTGAAAATATTTCGTTTGTAAAGGATTTTTAAATGCAGGACAGCATATAATTAAATATGAGAGCAGATTTAGAGGAATAAAACAACTCCAATAGATATTATTCTATACTGTGTATTCATAAGAAGATGTTTTCATAGCTTAAGATGTATGCAGGTCGTAAATATCTAAGAAGTTGAAGTAGCCATACTAAACAACCTGCCCAGTAGATTTTAATTACTACCACAGATTAGCATTCCGGGGAAAACTTATACTTTTTAGATGTCTGTCACTCCCAGGGGCTATTATCCTCCATAAATAACTCCAAGAAATATTTCTACTCCACACACAAATACCCAAACACATAGAGAATATTACAATTCCCTTCTACATTATCAATCTAGTTAGCAAAATGATCAGTAAGTGCTTTCATTCCTAATTGAACACCAGTGATATTAGAGAAATAAGAGTTAGAAATGTATAAACATAAGCGGAATAAATTATAGTTTTTATTCTCACTTAATGGTTAAATATTACATTACAACATATCCAAGTGATTTACTCATTTAGTTATTATTCAAAAGTACAGATATGTCACTGAGTAGCATATTATCCTATCTCTACATTTCCTCATTTTATTCTCAGGTAATGCGTACGCAAATACTGTCATGGAAAGTGTACAAACACACAAAACACCTCCGTAAAAGCATTCAGAGTATTGCTTTACTCATGTCTGTACATGAGTGTATATAGGCAAAGGGACTTGTGACTAGTGTTTATCTATGTATATAAATGTTATTTATGCAATTGTATACACCCGTAGCATATGTATCTGTATACTCACAGATGATAACTCACTTCTCGACACACAACTTGCACACACACACACAATCGGTTGTTGTGTTGTGCGTATACATTTTCTGCTATTTTGGTTGTGTTTATGCTTCTGTGTGTACCGAGACTGACTGCTACTGACTACTGAGTGTGACTGAGTTTTAAATCTAGGGGAAACAAAGATAATTGGTTAATTTTTAAAAATATCTTTTGGGATTCATGCTGAATGTCATATACTCTGAAAGTGGATATTATTCAACATAACTGAAAGGCAAAACCACTAACATTATCAGTATTAATAATAATAGTAATGATAATAGTCAGTATTATAGTAAAGTCTATGATACTCATGAAATGACCTTCCAGTAAATGGATTTATTTTTAGACTACGTATAATACAAATTTTTTTTGCTTCGTAACAACGTTGCAATCGTGTTAATAAGATTTGAAGTAATGCAACATGTTCAGTGAAAATTGAACTTGAATTAGTTCAATGTCAAACTGTGTAAATAAAAATGCAGCTCTACACTGGCGAACACCATTAACATTAACAAATGAAAAGTGACTTTTTAAAGTTTAAAGAATCGAATGGATAGATCCAGTTCCTTTTGAATTCTTGTATATTTATCAATTCATTTCTATCAATGATAACAATAAATCACATGGATTAAATCTAATATATGTATATAACATACAACAGAGCTTAAAACTATGCTTCACGGGGATTATCATGTATAGCAATAATAATAAGGAAGGTATTAATTTAAAATTATAACCAATCTAAAACCTGGGAGAGGTGAACAGAATGAGTGGATCTAGACGGGGTCTTGTAGCACCACAAAATACATTTTTGGATAAAATTATCCGACGATGCAATGGACAATGTAAGTTATTTAAAGAATTAATAGTATATATTTTTATTTTATTATTACTCTGTTTATTTGAGATAGTTGATGAAGATTCTATAGTTACGAGGGTTATTTATCGATGGTATTGAAATATTTTTTTATGATGATAAGCGTGAAAAGTGAAGAGTAGGACTGTTGTTCTTGAAAATTCACTGATACTTCTTGAATCAAAAATTTATAGTGTTCAAAAAAGAGTCTTGTTCTGTTAAACCCTTCTTTCTACAAATGTATAAAGATTCTGTCGACTTGAACCTCATTAACACCGACTCTTCAATATAAAATTAGTGTTGATTATGCTGTATAGAAAGACAATAAGAAGATTCATGATTAAATCAACTAGGTCAGAGAACGTAACGCGGCCCATCATCTTATAAAATACATCTTCACAGTTTTTGAAATCAGACACAACAAAATCTAGAACGCTCAGTTAATGCTCTTTCAATATTCAATATAACGTTTAATGAATTTGTTTAAAAGCCGGATCGTTTCAAAGTCTAAAATAATCCATTTTGAAAAAGATTGGTTGAGTGAAGAAATATATTTCTTTTTAATTAGGTCTTCATTTTGGGCTCTACACTAATATATAGTTCTACAATTTAATCAAATTATGCGCAGTTCTAGCTACAAGAAATAAAGACAAACTGACTGATTCTGCCACTTCCATGTTCATTTATCAATTCAACTGCTCCTGTGGAGCTAGATACGTTGGACGTACAATGAGGCAGTTCCAATGTCGAACTTCTGAGCACCACTCATCATAGTTGAGAAAGGGACAAATTAGAAGCATAAGCAGCTGCATACTTGCATATCTAGTTGACACAGGACATCAAGTGGGTACTCGAAAAGCTTTCAAAATCATCCATCAAATTTCAATCGCCTACTTCATATACCAGAGGAGATTGCAATCCACCTTTACAAACCTAACCTTTGTATTGAAAAGAAGTTTGTCCGACCAGTATCCTCACCATGGCCATCAACATGTTGTAACCTCTAGGTTTACTTTGTGCACCTCTTCCCCTTCTTGTTTCTATCAATATTCATTTAGTTTCCTTGCTGTTACGTAATCGCCTATTGTGAATAACTGAACACTCATTAAAACCCACTCCATTTACTTGAGTATAACTTGCTGCATATTTCCAATTTTAATAACTCTATTGATTATTTACATCATTATCTCCGAAACATCACCATCTGATTGGTAATTTAATTAAGTTGTAAAACTATTTATTAGTGTGGAGCTCAAGGGGAAGACCTAATTGTAAAGGAATATATTTCTTTGCTCAATCAGTCTTTTCCTAAATGTCTAAATCGGAATGTTCAATTGTAATACTCCTAGAGAATGGGCATTCCTTCCTTAAAAAAATGTTAAACACACAAATAACTTCAAGGTTGAAAGATTGTCTATCCATCGTTAGTATAAAAATTAAGTGAAGTGTTGTAGCCTAACCTTCATCTTTGTTACTGATCACCACTAAAAAAAGCTTGTTATCTTTCTTAAGCAGTATCATGACTTTCTGAGCTCTAATCAATGTCGTTTAGAGTCGTAGTATGCACTACTTAGAAAAAATCAGTTATGCTTGATTGTTTATCGTGAGCTAAAAGTTCTCGGTAAATTTTGTTGTATACATATCCGCACCTGTAGTATTTTATTTAAATTTCGCGTAGTCTTGAAGTTGGAGGATTTGAAGTCAGTAAGTTTGACTTCAACTGGTTGGTTAGGTTCTAGACCTTTCCTTTTGGTGTTTTTTGATAGTGAAATATTCATTGTTCCCGTCTGCATTCTTCTACTCTGAACTCATTTGACTTATCTCATTAGTAACTTTTGATAATTTTTGATATTCATATCCTGATCTCTTGTGTAAACTTAGTAAGTGTTAGCATTAAATTTATCCCACTTTCTGTTCGCTAAAAGGATAGAACACTTCGAATTCTAACCTGGCCATTAATTCCTTCAAGCAAGCAATCAATATTCATGGTCTTACTTTCTAAGATGATTGAAGTTATTAGTATAATGTGATGGGAAATTATGAGGTAAATTTGTTCTCCTATGACTTCTAGATATTCCTAATTGACTTTGTTCAAAATGTATCTCATTGATTTCATGAAACAATGCACCAGTAAATCCTTGGTCTTGCCATTGAAATAATAAAATTAATGGGAATAATAATTTTGATGTTTGATTTCTATTAAGTATTTCATGAACTGTTTGTTCAATTTATCGGAAATCAGCCCTTTGTCAGTAGTAATTCAGTCTTCGGGGAACACTCTGTGATCGCTATTTACCTTCAGCACGTAAGCTGTAGGCATGTGAACGAACACCACTAATATTTATTAGGTCATTTTGATATCTTATAACTTGGTATGATCTTTTTAGATAAATGTTTTGTTGATCGCTTTCTTCTGCTACTTTTCCGTCTCATATTTGAAATGTTGTCCGTATATTTTATGAGCTCAAATTATCTTTTGAAGTGTAGCTCCACAAACATGATGCGTTATCATTGTTCGATTTAACCTTATTTTACAGGCCACTTTCTGTAATAGTCAGAAAAACGCTTAGTGATAGCAGACATAAGGTTGAAAGTGACGTTTTCGGGTACTGATGAGCTCTCATACAGTACTGAAAGATCCTGTCCATTTGCTTGTATGTTGCCGATTCCTGCTTCAGTTAAGCGACTGCATCCTGTGAAGATTCTCCTCCCATTGTGAGACGCTTTAATGTTTATATTTTCGTGTTCACAGAATAACTGTCTTTGGTAAAGTACCTTCTTAATATCTGCAGAAGTAATTCAGAACCACAAATTCATGAAAAAGGAAACATTTAATTTTCCTTGCGGAGATCCAAAAAAAAATTGTACAGAATCCTGATAAACCGCAAGATTCGAATTAGCATCCTGCCGGAACGTCCAGAACAAGATGAAACGTGTCATTCAATTTACTCTCTGGTGCTTCTCAGCAAACGTTTGTACCAAATCATTTCACGCCTGACTATAGCCTCTTCAGAATGCATGATCATGATTACTGTTAATAGATATACTATTCTACTACTACCTTCGACTTAGAATTTTGAAACCCGTTATACTGTGTCACAAACTGCTGTAGTTATGCCTACCTCCATACTTTTTGACTCCTGAGCAATTGTATGTAATCAGACATGGAACCAGTGCTTCTAGTGCACACCTATAACAGTTGAGTGTTTGGTAATACTTATGATGATCAGAAAACTAATTGGAACATATGATGCGTTAAATTCAAGCCTAGTATTTTTCACGAATAAGATTCTGACTTGTATTGAAACACATTTCTTCCTCGACTTTATACAAAGATTCTCAGTGTGGTGCTAAACTGCTTTCTGAGCTTATTTTAACCATCACTAACTGTTTAATGGATGATTAACCATCATAGAAAATGCCTATGAGTCTTTGAGAAATGACAAATTGTAAAACGACTCTTTTTCAGTTTATTTACTTAGGCTCATCTTGATAGTATATGTTGATAAGACTGAGTGTGAGGGCGTTAACTTTTGAGCCCAGAAAGTACAGAACATTTAGCATAAGTTCTGGAAATACTTCACATTCAGGTTTCGCAGTCATAAATACTGATCATAGTTCACATTAAACTCAAACCAGTGGCATCTACTGATCTCGCCGCATTGCTTTGGTCTTCATATTCCAATGGAACATTATTCATTCTGAACATTACAAGAACAAAGACATTTCGCAAAATAAAATGAGCTCATTTGATCTCATCGCCTTTCATCAGCTGCAGACAGCTTTCAAGTGAAATCAAGTATTTGTAGTAATAATGACATAACACACTTTAAATATGTAAAAATAAATGAAGATCTGAAATATGGAATTAACAATGAGGTGATGAGTCAAGGAAATACAGGATTAATAATCACAAACCATAGTTGAAATCAATCTGATGAGATGGAAAATCCTGGAGCTGTGGAGTGGGGAGGGGAGGATAAGAGGCAGACAGAAGTGTAAGAGAAATGATTGTTAGAGAGCTAGTAAATTACGTAGTTACATGAAAGACTGTAAAACCTGAGTGAATAACAGTCACTAAGTAATCAATGAAGAGATTACATAATCAATAAAGAAAGACTATATACATACATCTGTAAAAAAAGGTTAATTACAGCAACTTTCTGAGTACATAGTTCAAATTGGAAGTGTTTGGTGGTGAGAACTTTTTTTAAAAAACCACCACAAACATTACGTTTGTGGTTTGCGGATTATCCTGAAGGACTGAAAAACACCTATTTGATGTCGTGTTTCCATCAAGTGCCAAGTGATTGCACCGGTAAAGACCTTTCTACCGTTCGGATACAGATTTTTGAGAATTTGGTCATAAAATCTAGTAGACGTCCTTCTTTCAGTCCTTCCTATCTACTTTCTTCTAGAAACACGGGTGAACTGATATACACGGTTGAAGGTAACGTGAGGTTGTTTATTATTTTTCACAGCTCCAGGATTTTCCATCTCATCAGATTGATTTCAACTATGGTTTGTGATTATTAATCCTGTATTTCCTTGACTCATCACCTCATTGTTAATTCCATATTTCAGATCTTCATTTATTTTTACATATTTAAAGTGTGTTATGTCATTATTACTACAAATGCTTGATTTCACTTGAAAGCTGTCTGCAGCTGATGAAAGGCGATGAGATCAAATGAGCTCATTTTATTCTGCAGAATGTCTTTGTTCTTGTATTGTTCAAATTTGTCAGCGGAACTAAGTGTATGAAGTCATATATTTTGGTAAACAGTCACATCATTGCAAATAGTATGATCAAGGCAAAAGGCTGAACGAAACGTCGACAAAAATAAGGTGACTTTTTCAAGTGTCTCCGCTGAAGATAAGTTGAGCTGAAGCACTAAAGTGAGCCGAGACCAACATGCATCAACCTATCATAGTATGAGCTTTCAAAGCCATTAAACCTTGAAGATAAGCATACAAAATCTATAGAAA